CGTCTTAAACATCTCGTTTCTTTTGCTTTTCTCGACTTCTATGCTTAAAATTTGTTTCTCGGCTCTCTCAATATTTATAAATATCTTAATTTTAAAACAAATTTTATCAAAAATCATGTTTTACTAATACTATTTAGTACTTTAAAATTTATTGTATCAAAACCATTGCCATACCATTTATCCCAATCAAAATTAGGATCTTTATTTTCTGCCGAAAATGCATAGAGTAATTTTTCATCATCATTTTCAACAACAGTTTCTTGTTGTTCAAGTTCTGCTAATGTTTTACATTTTGCACCTTGACCATATAATTTTCCTGTTACATTATGACGAAATGTTGCCACAGTTCTTAATGTGAGACTAATACGTTGACCATCAAATGCTCGTTCATCATCGTCTTTGATATTATTTGCACGTTTATCTTGTCGAATAGAATGAAACCATTCACGATTTGTTTTCCAACCGAGAACAAATAATGAATTATGTGGTAGCTTAAATTTTCCTTTTCGTCCATCGTGAGTTTTACTTTTTAGTATCATCGTGCGTGCTGAGCCTAGAAAAAACAAAGAAATGAATCAGTCATTATGTCAAATATCAACTGTCAGCTTCACCTTACCTAAACTATAATTGACAATATTTGAAAATCTTAATACATCTAATGTTTTATCCGAATGTTCTCCAATAAAATCAAATCCATCTTTATAGTACTGTATTAGTGCATGATTTAACGGTTGTTTAATTCTTTTTTCAATTTCATCTTTAATTAATTTTGATATTGGTGTCCATTCGACCATGCTCGGTTGTTCATCAGCCGGATGTCGATATAATGGCTCATAATTATTATCTATTGTACCTTGAATCGATATTTCTCGCGGCACTTTTCCACCTTTCTGATACATTTCATTCCACTGAATTTCATGTTTTAAGTTGTAAAAATGATCATCAGCGACATCTTTTGGTAATATGTCTAATATTAGATAAGAATCACCGGAACCATATGTTGTTTGACAACTAGAAAACGGATTATGTGAATCTTCGCTAAATGATGCCATGTACTAATCCGAAAAATGAGAATATTATAGAAAAATTGTTCGAATGTAAGATCAGTTCAAATTGTTGAATAGTTGTTTATTCTTCACTTCGAATTGGAATATATTGCTAAATATTAGCTTTAAAGAAGAAACTCTCCACGTTTGACTATTTCAAATTCAATAAAGTATACGTTAGATCCATTGTATTACTATTATATATTATCTGGAAATATAACGAAACTATTTCCTCATCTATGAATAGTGCAATAAGGTGAAATTTTGCATAAGAAAATATAATTATTATTTTTATGTATCTTTCGTCCTGTCGTATTTGCCTTGGTACAAATAGCAGCAACCACATCCAATTCGTTTTTGTTTTCGACCACCTCTGCTGATTATGACGCTAGATAGCTTCACAGTCTGAATGAGGGCGACACATCCCTCGAAAATGACGGAAGACAGAATCGAGTTTATTTATTCTTGAAATATATATATATATATATAAATGCTGTTAATATAACGGATGCTTGAAACTATTCCATCTTTCATGTACATTAGAGAAAGCCTTACGACTACACCAGCGGTTAAACGACGTGATAAAATATTTTTCTTGCAGATAAATCTTAAACATATATCATTAGTCACAGTTTTTCATGTTGAGCGAATATATCATTTAATACAAACAGAATTGAATATTGAATACGAAAATTCAAGGTTAAATTTTTAATTTGGATTCTTTACTCTAGAAATCGTTTTATCTGAATAAAGAATAGAATACCCTTTACCGAATATCGGTTTAAGATAAAGATATAAGAAACATTTTATCTGAAAATTGTCTCAAAAGATAAGGAGTTAAATTCTCCATAAGATAGTCTGTTTTGAGTTTAAAAATAACGTTAATAAACAACGTCCATTTAAATCAGACCTACTCTAAAGTTTTCATCACTGAAAAAAAATTGATAATGAAAATATCCTCCATGAAGAGTTCAAATAGGACAAACTCCGTTACACTGATCGTTTTTTTCGTGTTTCGTACGTGCAAAAACAGTTGAAGAAAAATGACTGATTCTGATAGCCAGAACTCTTAGCTTTTATTTGGTTAATAAGCGATTTCTTAAATCGCTTATTAATTTCGCTTTATAAAGTCCTAAATAGTGTTAGTAAAACATGATTTTTGATAAAATTTGTTTTAAAATTAAGATATTTATAAATATTGAGAG